CGAAAAAAAAAAAAAAAAAAAAAAAAAAATTGTTTTTTTCCTTCCAACCCCCAGTTGACACCTCACTGGGTGTCACCCCCAGCTGGGGGTAGGAAGTATTTTTCGTAAAAATGTTGTCGTTGTTAGTCGTGTAAGTTATGATGTTTGTGATGTGTTTTGCCAAATTCGAACTGGCCCGCTCAATGCAAAGTTTATCAAGCATTACTACCCATAGTTGGACTCATCTATGTTGAAATTCATTTTCACTTTCTTACTTTGTCTAAAGGTTGTATTTCCCTTGCGTTATGAAGAAGCTGGTTTTCTCTATGGTGTATGTTTTATCCCATCACTTACAGTGAATCTATTATGCTTTTGTCAAGAAAGTTGAAGAACTAATGAGAATATTTCAGCTTTTATATGTGCATATGATTGTTCTTTCCATTGTATCATTCGAAATAAATATTTTATCAGGTAGAATGAGAAAACAATGCGAAAATATCCAAACAACAAAAATTTTGTCATTTCATTGCATTGTCCTAGATAAAACATTTTTATCGAAAGGGGCAAGAAAGTAATGATAAAAAAAAAAACTCAATCTTTCCTAAAGATACCCTCGAAGAAGCTGCCCGTCACATCTACATCTGGAGGACAAACAGTAGAGTGTGCCTCTAAAGTCTCCAAGGCCCGAGCATAACCCGACTCAAGTTCACGAAGAGTTGCCTTTGTCTCATCTATAGAGGTGCGATAAGAGGCAAGCACATACATAAGTTCCAGCCGATGACTGGCGTTCGAAGCTATATCCAGGCGCTTCCGAAGCCATGATAAGTCCACTTGGTGACGCTCCATGTCAGAGATCCCCTGATACGCCGTCTCGACTACTTTTCCATTAAGGTCACACAACCGTTGCGTGTCCAAGCTATATAAGATAGTGGCAAAAGACTCGAGAAGAGCAGTCTGAATGAGTGGACACTGGCAAGCAAATGAAGCAAAGGTCTCCGGGTAACTTGAATGCACAAGCTGTAGAACTGAAGCAAACTCAGGAGCTACCCAATAATGGAGAAATGATACTTTGCCAGAAGCCGAAGAAGGAATTGGGGCCGGAAAGCTGCTAGTCTCAAGAATCTCCCCAATATCTATCGGGTTAGATGAATCACCCGGAGGGGTAACTCCCGGCAGAGGTCCCGAGCCTGAGAATGCCGAACGATAAGGGGAGAGACCAAAAGCATCACTATCAATGTGGAAATCACTAAGATTCAGATCCAAAATGTTCGAAGGCACTGGCGATGAAGAACCTCTGGCAGTCGTCTCAAAGGCAGGTGTCCGATAAGAGGCAGAGCCCGAGGCAGGTGAAGGCAGGACCTCGGTAGCAGCTAACACTCTGGAGCAGAGTCCGGGGCAGGTGAAGGCAGGACCCCGGTAGCAGCTAACACTGGAGCAGAGTCCGGGGCAGGTGAAGGCAGGACCCCGGTAGCAGCTAACACTGGAGCAGAGTCCGGGGCAGGTGAAGGCAGGACCCCGGTAGCAGCTAACACTGGAGCAGAGTCCGGGGCAGGTGAAGGCAGGACCCCGGTAGCAGCTAACACTGGAGCAGAGTCTGAGGTAGGTGAAGGCAAGACCCCGTTAGCAGCTAACACTGAAGAAAAGATAAGAAGGCCTTATTAGAGGTAGGGAACAGGAAAGTCATTTAAGTAAAGATTTCTCACAGATATAAGTAAATGACAAACTTCAGAAAGAAAGATTACTAGAGGGAGGATCAATATGCAAAGCAGGGGCAACTGAAGGACTCCTAGCATCAACAAAGTCACTTGGTCGTGTAGAGACCACCTGATCGATCTCAATGTCTGATGAAGCTTGAACAGTAGCAGTCATCCCTGAAGAAGGAAGGAGGGCCGGAGGATGAGAATCACCATAAGTGCCAGAGCGAGTCTCAGAGATCTCTGGCACATCCACCTCAACACCATTCCCAGAGGCGCACCTCATCTCTACATCGCTTCTAGAAGCATGGCCCGCGACATCAATTTCTGTGGCATCAGTCCCTCCAACAATCTCAACATCAGAACGGTGAGCCCCAATAAACTCGTCACCAAGGTAGTGCTCCTCTTCAGCTACGGTAGGGCGATGACGACGCGTGCGTGGAATAAGGTCACAAAAATGATCGGAGGACTCAGCCTCATCATCATCGTCATCTAGAACTGCTATACGAGGGGTGCACATCTTCACAAGTCTTGCAGACAAAGGGAGGGTGTCGTCCAAGTCTGAGTCCGGCCTGGAGGAGGCAGCATGGCCAGGAGCCACGGTACCGAGAACGTCAACAACCGCAGGATCCTACACAACATGGGCAAATAAAAGTTTTCATAGTCCGAACTGTAGTAGCATAAGGCCCCCCTCCGCGGGCGCGTCTACACCAGCAGCCGTAGGGTCCTACACAACAAGGGAAAATAAAAAGTGTTCATTTTAGAAAGTCCAGTTGCAAGAAGGAAAGTAACTTCAAATCAAAAATTTCGGGTACCTCATGAAGCCTTTTGGAAAGGCAAGGAGTGGAAGGACTGGCATCAGAAGCCCTCTTGTGAGCCATCTTCTTAAGGCGGGTTGTCCGAGGACCAAAGGCCTTATTCAAAGGGACTGGCTCTGGAGAAGTAATTGCCAAACTAGAAGCAGACGCCCGAGCAGAAGGGTTAGTTGGAGCAGATGAAGTGAAGAAACCCTTGTACATGTGATCAAATTTCCGGCTCTCGGGTAGCCAAAGAGAAGAGTCCTTCTTATAAATCGACGGAGGCAAACATATGGTCGGTCTGCTCTAGACAAATTCAATAAATGCATCGATAGTCTTCCGCCAATATCGCCTGAAGGAGGGGGTGAAAGCCCCTACTCGGCTCAAGCCTGGCATCGTCAAAGAGCTAGATATGGGAAGCATGGTGTGTACAAGCCCGCGATTGAAGCGCCCGTAGCTCTCCGAAAATGATAATAAATGAGGTGCTGGCCCCAGGGCACATTGATCAAACCCGAATTGACAGGCTACACGGTCAGGTCTATAAATGGCACTATCAACGCCTTCCTCATGCCATATCGGTAATGAAGTCGGACGCGTCATTAACACCATATCAACAAAGTGTGAAGGGATGTTCTTCGACAAAGGAAAGGACACCGAGCGGGAGGAACCATGATAAATAAGTGGTGTTGCCACACCCACCGATGGGCATACATACGGCTGTGCCACAAAGCGTCGAGGATCATCCACCAGAGTATTCAAGGATAAGGTGGAAATGGTACGTGACCACCGTGTAATCAACGGCTGGCAAGACTTCGCTTTCTCAAATGTCCGAGACCCATCAGTATCGAGCACGGGGATGCCATCTTTATCAACTATCTCCCGAAGAACCTCCGCCTCGAATACAGTCGGAGCAGGGGCAAATTTTGGGAACCTCTCGAAGAAGAAACAAAGCAGGAACTGGCTGTGAATAAAGGAGACAGGCTCATATCTCCCCACGGAGTGAACCATATCTCGATGTAGTAGATCCTCGATGTAGTAGATTCAGTCGGTAATAAAGATTCCCAAGAAATAGCGGAGCCAAAGGGATCTGATCTCCTCTGAAGAGCCTAACTGCCAAGGGGAAGACAAAGGGATTGAGAGAATCCGGAGGTGTGCTCGGAAGAATGAAGAATGAAAGGAAGCAAGAAGAAATCCCAAGAAATAAAGCCTAGAGCCATACATCGGGCCGGCCTCAGACTCTCGAGAATCGGGGTCAGCATCTCTAGCCAAGGGCTAAAGATCCTTGAAGAAGTGGCGGATCCATGCAATGTAGGAGGCACGGTCCGTCCTTACTCGACTGGTCCTCCTCGCTAAACCATGAAATACAGAACTCCATCGGCCGCAAGCTTGAAGATTTAGCTTTAGAGATTGGATCAAAGAGTCATCCTCGGGGGGTGTTTGCTCAGGGTAGAAGGCATCAGGGCCGTCACTTCCAGACGCAACAACATGAACACATCCTCGAGGGTGGGCCCTATCTTCTGCTAGCCAAGTATAAAGGTGTGTGTCTCGGTGCTCCACCGAAGAGCCATGGCCTCAAGGCTAGCATTGTTATGCCGGATGGATAGGGATCGAGATATTTTCACCGGGATCAATAGCCGGGCCTCCTGAAGCCGCTGACAGAGGCTCCTGTCCGAGAGGACATCATCGACCCACTCCTGCCAACCAAAAGGAGGGTTTGAGAAGGCCTTGAACTGAGGATAACAGTATGGAAAGTCCCCCCGCTCAATCCGAAAGCGTAACACCGAGGAAGGAGAAATGAGGGCCTCATGTCCGGAGTCAGTGTCCTCAGTAAGACATAATGGAGCCCCCTTTGGAGATAGAAGAGAAGTGGTGGAGGTAGCCGCTCCCCAGAACAGGTCTTTCCGACCAAAATAAGGAGATTTCCTCCATTTAGATGCCGGAGGTACATCCCTCTCTTTCATGAGAGCCGGTTCTGATGACCCCGAGACAATGGGTTTCTTTCGAGAAGACATATGGCTGAAATAACAGATATAAATAGCAAAGAGTTGACCGTATTAAAATTCAGAATATTGGAATTGAAGCAACACATTCGAATGAAATTTCGGTATCAACTATTCGTTTCTCAGAGAATCCATGAATTCAACAAATTCTACGAGGAATTTTTTTTTACACCAAGAATTCAGGCACAATGTCTACTATGCTAAGGGTCGCAACAATCAGTTATTTGATAATGAGATTTACATGCAACATAATGGGTTCATCAACAAATTCAACCTCGGATGTCATCAACAATTCAGCTTCTCGGGGTATCCACTAGCCTGATGAATGACCATATATGGTTCTAAGAGTTATCATGACGTAATTATTTCAAGTAAAGTGTTTACAAGATTCAAAGTGCTGGAGTATTATTTGGTCAAATATATATGGTTAGAATATTTCATTATCTCTCTCAAATGATCAAATACTCGATAACAAAATTTATATTCAACATTATGAGTCTCATTACTGAAATCATTCCATCGAGCATCAACAACAACAACAACAACAAAAATTTTTGTTTGTTCTACTCCTTTCAATACTATCAAACATGGAGTGATAAATATATATATGTATATATATATATACATCAGCAGCAAAGCTACAAAATCTGAATTATGGGTTCAAGATTCAGTGGATCGTTATGCAAATTACAAGAATGTCCTTTCTAAAATCCATATTCATAAGCCCAGGGTTTTCTCTCTCCATGTCAAAAATGGAGCTCAAATACTAGGCAACAAGTTATATTCGGCCTTTTCTCAGTGATAAAGTTCAACAAATTGTGTTCAAGCCAAGCCCCTCAATAAGGTTTCAAGTGCCAATGCATGTTTTCATATGGCCAAAATCACAGTGCTTGAGCTAAAAAAAAATGTCATTGGGATTGCCACAAAAATTGAGTCCATATTCATATTTAGATTTTTTTTTTTTTTTATCAAATTGCTTGAGCCCTCTACATTGCCACAAAAATATATTTATAAATATTTATATTCGGAAGAGGGAGCCGAATTTCATACTCACAAATTTGGACCGTTAGAGGGGGTGAAGTCTGAAGTCGATGTTGGAAATTTAAGTTGAAATCAGAGAGGTTTTACAGACTATATCACCGAAGCCGTGCTAGGCCGAACCACACACGACGCGTTGAGTGGGCGGCGTGTGTGAGTGGCGTTGGACAACCCGAAGCCAGCAGAGCAACCACGCACGTCACGTTGAATGGGCAACGGCGTGGTCAGCACTAGATGGTTGAGGACGAAGACAACGGGGATGTCGTAGCAGAGTCGGCAACCACACACGTCACGTTGAGTGGGCAACGTGTGTGGTCTGCGTTGGAGCCGTTGAAGCCAACAATAACCGAAGGTGGAGCAGAGAGAGGCCAATGACGGCTTGGTCGGAGCTGAAGCAGCGAGAGGCCGACGGAAGCTGGGGCCACGACAATGTAGTTGTGTGCAAGCAGAACTAAGATCTGGAAAATCTGAGCTCTAAAAACAATTATATATATATATATCATAATCAATATATATATGTATTTGAAATGCCAACCAAAAGCAAAGATGAGAAAGAAAACCAGTGGCCACGGGAATCAATTGCGAGTTATGCTGGTGTTGGTGCGCAGTAACGAAAGCTCTGGTCGCGTTGCCGGCGGTGCCTAGAGCTATGGTGCAAACCACACACGACACGTTGAGTGGGCGACGTGTGTGGGTGGCGCTGGACAACCGAAAACAGGAGGCAAAGTCGCAGCAAAGAGAAGCCGACAGTGGTTGAGCTCGGCAGTCGAAGGGCAGAAGCGGCTGTAATGTCGCTGAGGAGTTGGCGTTGGTGCTAGTCAGCGAGCTCCGGAGTGTCTGGATCTGGGTCGCGACATACACAATGGTTGAAACTGGGACAAGTCAATAACGTTGCTCAGAGCAGCAACGACGGACGGCATGTAACTGGCGATAGTCTTCAGCGTAGGTTAGAGCCTCTGTGTTGTTGAAAAAAGAGAGCACCACAGTTTGCTCTAGTATTGTAGAAGCAAAGCTTTCTTGAGGATGAAGCTGGGTCTCTCGATATAGAGAGAGAGAAAGTGTATGCCGCTGGTTTCAAAGAAAAATAAAAGAAAGAGGAAGGTTAGTGATTTCGGCGGCTGAGGCAAAAAAGTTGGTGAAATAGGGTTTTGGCCTTTCTTTAAATAGAAAAAGAGAGACGTCATCTTGGCATATTCGTTCAGATATTCCGAATATATATGCGTACATATAATGGGCCTGTGACTCCACTGACTTGCCAAACAAAAAACGAAAAAAAAGCATGGTTTATGGCCTCTCAGACTAACATTCTCTCTTTATATATATTTATATATATAAAAGGCCTAGTTTATTTTAAGATTTGTTTGCCCGTCAAAAGGTGGATTTTGAATCTGTTTATTTTATTTTTTCTTGACTCCACAGAAGAGAAAGAAAAAGGTGTTTGGCAAAAAAGGAATAAGGACAAATGTTTTGTCCTCTGGTTGAAGCAAAAAAATTTGGATTAGTGGATCTCTCATATTATTCTATATATATAAAATGAGGCCAAACTTTTGAAGGCTTGTTTGCTTTCCAGGAGCTTTTTTGCTTTCCAAAAAGAATTTTCTTTTTTGATGGGTTTGTAGCCACGGGGGCCCAAACAGTACAAGATGAGATCCAAAAAAAAAAAAGAGTAAATTTTTTTTTTTTTTTTATGCTTGTCAATTTTATTCATAAATTATAGTGCGTCATCAACTTTATCCATGGGCTCTGTCAAGGTAACATTTTTTTGGGACGTGATGCGAAGTAGGGCCGAAGAAATGACAGTATGCATGTCCGAGAAATTTAAAATTTCTCATACACGCAAGGGGCAAATGTAAGAGGAGCTAAGTTTGAGCCCACTAAATTAATTAGGCCCAATAGTCCAAGGTTGATGGGCCCGAATTTATTGCAAGTCCAAGACTGGTGGGCCCGGATTTATCACCATCAAAAGGGCCAAATCGCTCTAAGCCTCGAAAGGGTTCGGATCCACGAACTTAGAGACTTACTCGGGCTCAGACTCGAAAGGGTTCGGATCCACGAACTTAGAGACTTACTCGGGCTCGGACTCGAAAGGGTTCGAATCCATGAACCTAGAGATCCGAAGCACTTGGCCTCGAAAGAAGCACTTGGCTTCGAACGGATTCAAACACAATCCAGAAGTCGCTCCATTAATGAGTCCCAGAACACTTGCGGGCTCGGAGCTTTCCGGGATCTACGCACCAGAACCATGGGCGTAATGGAGTTCGAACAAAGGACCCGATC